GACAGGCTGGTGGAATAAAGTGTTAGATTCTTTAAAAATTAAATAAGACCACAAAGGAAAGAAAACACCACCAATCATTGCATAAAATGTATATTTAAAGTTGCTAAAGTACTCACTTTTGAGCTAAAATTACTCTTTTAAAAATGGAAAATTAGATCATTTCATAGTGATTCAAGTGACATTAAAATTTACTTTTTCTTTGGTTCCCATATTTATAGGAAAATATTAAGGCCAAGGCTGAATAGAGAAACAAATCCATTAATGATAGAAGATACAGGACAATAACAAACTCACAACCAGTCCTTGTATGTCCTGCCCTGCCTTCGCATGCCATTGCTCTCAGTCAGACGTCTGAACTGCCCAAAGTTGGTATAGGCTGGGTTCCTGACAATAGCAGGGTTGTAGTGGGAGCTGTCTTCACCACCTAAGTTATGGGGCCAAATACAGTGAGTACCATACAAGCAGTGGGTCTGCCTGCCCTAAATTATGCTTCTTCATGTGACCCCATCATTATTCCCAGGATCTGTGCCCTTTGCCCTTGATCTCATGTCTATAGGATTTAGACAAGTGTTAGACCCTTGGAATGCTCCACAATGGTGACCTTGATTCCCTAAGTTTGCTAGGGAAAAGAAGTGAATTTAAATCCAGTCCTGCAATTGTTTGGAATGCTTTGTAATTGTGGTAGTCAAATTATTCCTGACACAAAAGAAGCTCTAGCCCTGTGTCAGAGACATCTGTCTTTCAGTTTGGCTCAGGTTTTCTGGTCTTAAGAGTTGCTACTGCATTTATAATAAATGACCGAATCTTCTTTGTTGTCATTTTTGCTCTTGTTGCATTTAGCGCACAGAGAAATTAAGGAGAATCACCTTAGTGTTAATTTTCCCGATAGTATTTCTAAGGCTTTTTTCTTCTAATTGTCAAAACATGATACTTTTAGAAAACAAAAAACACTGCTTGGCAAAAGATACTAGGATAAAGATTGTGGGTGTTTAGTGTTTGATAGATGAACAAGTGGTTAGAGGGTGTAATTCGGAACCAAGAGGCACCACCCCATGGCTGGTCCTGGGCCCCTATGGGGGGAAAAGCAGTCTTTAATTACATCTGGAACTCATTAATTCTTTTTGGAACCTCTTTCCAGATCAGCTCCCCCATCAGCCTCCCATTGAGCAACAGAAATTCCAGATGGTTCCCTCCATATGCTAGTGATCATTCTCTCAAGTAGGATAGATTGGTCATTGACAAAGCAGGATGGGATAGCTGTGGCCCAGGCAGGACGAGGTGAAAAGCACTGGGCCATGATTAAATTCAAGGTGATCCATCATTTATGTTTATGATGTGGGTTGTACGAATACCATTTCTGAGTGATTACTTTGAGGTATCTTGAGTAATTTTATGGAAAGGTTGCTACTTCTAGAGAATGTGGCTTATGGTGCCAACTTCCTATACTTGGAAGAGTGGGAAAAGTTCTGTGTCATTATAGCTGAAGGCTAGTGAGTGTGGACCTGCAGATGAGCTACTCTGAAGGCTACTTTATGGTAAGCTCTTTGTGTCACTTGCAGCTAGAGCTGAAATCTCTTCTAATGTGATACAGGGGGAATTTATTTATAAAAATTTCCATAAGGTGTCTGTTTTTTCCATTTTATCAGACTTTTGTTTTTATATGCAGATTCATAGACTTTCCAGTTTAAAGTAGCTGGGAGTGAAGATAAAGTCACCCTTTATAATATAGTTCAAGAGTATATTATCATTTCAAGTATATCATATTTATTCATATATCTGTCTTCATCTGATAATAGGAAACATCTCTCACTCATCTCTGAATTCTCATCACCTAATAGGATTTGGTACATTGTGAGAAAGGAAAGGAAAGACAAAGAAGAGGTGGACAGATGGATCCAGGAAGTTTATAAGTGCAAAGTGTGGCCCAGAAGACATCTGAGCTGTGTTTCTACTTTTGTCTTCATCCTAATACTTGTCCTATGACAGCTATTGAATTTTATGAGTACGCATGTGCATTTGTGTTGTTTGATGTTGTTTTTCTGCACCCAGTATGTGCTAGATATTGTCCCAGGTCCCAAGCAAATAAGAATGACAAGATAAGATAGAGTCTCTGTACTTGGGGATTAAAATAAGTAGTCTGTCTGATTCATGGGAAATTTGTTGATGTATTTGAAGTCAGTAGGGCAATTAAAAGGAAAAATTTCTCCTAAGAGGATATGTGGTAAAGAAACAAAGGGATGAATTTTAAATTGTATATACATGTCATATATTAGCCACAAAGCATGTTCAAAAACGAAATCACCTGCTATCATACATTTATGTGTATTTGTGAATACTCTGTGGATGAGAGAAAGCATTTATTGAACCAATTTTATTGTTTTATACAATCAGATTCAACAGCTTACCATTGGTAGAATGGGCCATAGATTGGAATAGTCACAAACTATTTGTATAGAACTCTTTTTTTTTTTTTTTTTTTTTTTTGAGACGGAGCCTCAAGCTATCCCCCTGGGTAGAGTGCTATGGCATCACAGCTCACAGCAACCTCCAATTCCTGGGCTCAAGCGAGTCTCTCTGTTGGGCTGCAGTGGTGTCATCATTGCTTGCTGCAACCTCAAACTCCTGGACTCAAGTAATCCTTCTGTCTCAGGTTCCTGTGTAGCTGGGACTATAGCCATGTGCCACCAAGCCTGGGCAAATTTGTCTATTTTTAATAGAGAAGGGGATCTCACTCTTGCTCAGACTGGCCTTGAACTCCTGACCTCAAGGGATCCTCCCACTTCAGCTTTCCTGAGTGCCAGGATTACAGGCATGAGTCACCAAGCCCGGCCTACAACTCTTATAAAGAATATTTAAGGACTCTTATTTTAAAGAATATTTTCTTTAAATAATTTTCATCTTCAAGTCTTGGACTCACAAAATATATGCTAAACCTAGAACATTATTTAGGTATTTTACTCTTTTGTTTGCATGTTTTGAAAAGTAGTTCACCTTTTGGGGGCGGGACACAATTATATGAGAATCTTTATCTAACAAATGCAAACAGTGTAACCTGGTTCTTTGTTCCCTCAATGAATCCCCAGCAATAATAATATTAATAATAGAAAGCAAATTGCCAGAAATGAGGTATATATATGTATTTTGCCTGTGTAGCCTTGTCATTCATTTTGTACTAGTCACTCACAAACTCACAAAATTAGGGTATGTGGGGAATTGAACTCAACAGATCTGGGTGACATTGATTCAGTGTTTTTATCTTCAACATTACAATAAGCCCTAAGGTTTTTTAAAAAAAAAAAGAAAGATTGTCTTTTCCCTTGAGGAAGTAACAGTGGGAGAGAAAGACATAATTACACTGCGGATCAGCCCATAGGCAGACACCTTCTTACACACACTGTGTGTATATATTTGAATAATGTGTTGTAGTGCTCTGATAGAAATGTGTACAAAGTGTCACTGGGCATGAAAGAGGAAGGTTGTTTCCCCAGGGGGAGTGGTGGAGCCACTAAGGGGAGGGAATAGCTTACTAACAGAACTAAAGCTGGTATGGCATCCTAAAGGACTTCTACCATGCTCTGAGAACCACTAAGCCACACCCAACTGAGAGCAGAGGGGACAGAGAGTGCATGCAAAGCTATGGACCGCCCAGAGACGTCATGCTTTAATTCTGCCTGTTTTATAGGCAATAGCTCAGATGCATGGCTTCATGGAAACTGTAGTTTAACTGGGAATACAGGAGAAAAAGAGAAATGTTGATTTATAACCCTATAGTCTCTGCCATAGGAGGGCATAGTCTGTCTAATAACTAGGGAAGCAGGCAAGGACATGATAAGTTACTTTGCTTGGACAGGGGCTTAAGAACAGCTTGATGCATTGTTTCCTAGAATGAAAGATTATGCCCACAAAAGAATTCTTTAAAAATCTTTGTATGTGTCAGTGATTAGGGTACTTGATATTAAAGCAGGAACCTTTATTATTTGATATTTTTAATTACATTGAACTACTACCAAGCTACAGAAAGTAACACTCAATGCTTTGACATACATGAAATATTTACTGTTCTAAATGGTGAGACCCAACCATAAGAGGGACTTTACCTAACAAATGCAATCAGCGTAACCTGGTTCTCTGCACCCTCAGTGAATCCTCCACAATAAAAAGTAAGTAAGCAAATGAGAATATTTTATTCATATATTACTCTACAGTTATTTTAAGACAAAATCCATGATTTTTTTCTTCTCAAGTTATATTGAAACGACTTTTATGAAAGTGGGGATGCAGAATAACATTTTAAGTTTCCCAGGGAGCTCTCCGCATGCCATGCTAATGGACAACCGTGCGGGCAATGCGAATAAGCATTTACTGAGTAACACATGGACTTGGCCTTACTCAGTGGAAGTTAGTGAATTGCAGGTGGCTTCCTAGTATTGAATGTGTATTTTAGATCTTTAAACTCATTTAATCCTCATAAAAATTCTGTGGATGAGGCAGATGCTTTTATTATTATCCCCATTCTACAGATGAGATAACAGGCGCAGAGAGAAAAAGTTGTTGGCTTGCATGGCTACTCAGTAGCAGAGCTAGGATTCATGTCCAAATACCTGCCTTTGGAGATCAAGGTCATAGTATATTTACTGTTCTATATCTCCCTGAAACTAGAACCAAAAGTGAAGAACAGGTACAAAGGGCAGGGGGCTCATTTGATCTGTGTGTCTGCACTGCAGTAGGCTTAGGGCAACTGTGAGGTACATAGCAATGCATTTTGACCATAACACTTGATGTGTTAAGCAATGACAGTGTTTATTAATCGTATATATATTTTTCCTTTCAGTAAGGCTTAGCCTTTGGACTATTTGTTCTTTTAGTTTCTGTATCTGTGCTGGCATAGGTAGTGTACACAGCTTTTGAACTTCTAGGAGAAGCCCAGGACAAGTTGCCAGAAGAAAGAAAGTGATTCTTCTTTTACTCATTTATCTGAGCAACTTCTTTTTCTTCCACAGACAGGACTGTCCTTGTGGATACAGACCTTCCATTCCTCAGAGGCCTCTATGTGATGGGGACTTTAGATTTCCCTGTGGACAGAAGCAATGTTCTGAGTGTGGCGTGCATGGTCATTGCAGGCGGGGAGCTGAAAGTCGGTGAGTAAGGCACAAGCCTGGAGAGTGCATTGGGAATTACACTCTGGAGAAAGTGCTCTGGGAAATGGGTGGTATTATCAAGTCAGTTGCTTAATAGAGTTTGGGGAGGGCCGAGCCAAGGAGTGAGTTTACTAGTGAAGCTCTTCCTTGGCAAGCTTTAGAGGTGGCAAGAGGTGAATTGTGTTCGTCATTCTGCCAAGCCCACATACTGCCAGCCGGCCATGTCTCTGGCCCCAGGGTGCTTATGTTGCTGTCCATTGCAGACTTGTTTATGCTCCTCTGGCTACAGATCAATTCTCCCTTTATAATATACCTGTGGCTCACTCTTCGAGAAGATATCATAGGATAGGTTTGGTATTTTCTGATTAGCTAACTCTCAATAGGATTTCAATCATTGCCTTAACTTAGTTCCCTGGGAAACCAGACTTCAAAGTATTATTTAAGGTCCTTGATCCCTAACTGCTGAATTGCTTTTCAAAAAGACTTTCCAATTTGCAGTCTACCTATTTCTCAGAGTTAGAAAATCCCCTCACTCTTCCTGGCATTGCCCATAAACACAACTTTGTTTGTGTAATTTTTCTGCAAGCCTGGATGAAAATACTGTTCCTAGGTGGGACCTGATGTTTTCTGAACAGTGAGATGAGTATAGTACTGGAAAGCAGGGCTCTAAGTGAGATGGTGTGGGCTCCAATCCACCTCCACTTACTTGCTGTTTAACCTGAAGCAGGTCAACCTCTGGGTTGATTCATTTCCTCATCTGCAACATACATGTGTTAACAGACCCTTTCTCAGAGGGATGTTGAAATCATTGACTATAACTGAGTGCTTGGGATATAACAGGTGTTCCATAAATGTTAGTTTATCTGTCAGGGTGCCTACGGGAAATGGATATCATATGAATCTGGCAATTTGAGGTTTACATAAAGGAAAAATTCAAATGAGATGGGGCATATCTTGGGGCTAGGAAAGTTGGGTTCTTACTACCCCTTGTTATAAAGGGGAGAGAAAATGAAGTCATTACTGGAATCCAGAGATGGACGGGGATGTCTGCAGGGGTGAAAAGGGTCCACCTGTCACTGTCAGCCAAATACAGAAAAGATGGGGATTTGATCCTACAAGCTTGATTGTCAGAGAGCCAGCAAGCTGAGAACAGCAAGAGTTATTCTCTCAAATCTGTTCTGCTGCAATTACAATTCTAACAGTTTTTAAACGGGATTCAAGGCGCTAAACCTAGAAAATTTTAACTTTATCTAAAAGAATCCCCCACGAAAACAACATAGAAGTGAACTTCACTCTAACAACATAATGACACTAACTGTCACAGTGTTACTGCCTCCCCCCAAATCTCTTCAGATAAACATCCTCACAATCATAGAGAAAACGTAACTAGATAATCTTGGAAAGTGTGTGGGGAAAGAACGTGGTATGGGCAGAGCGAGTCATCTGTACTACTCCAGCTTAGCTTCTTAGACTCCATCTTTTTGGCTGCTTTTCTGGCTTCCTGCAGATGAATGCCAGACAGAAGCATGGCTTTTCTGTGGCTGAGACTCGGTCACTACAAGGAGGGAACTAGGGGAACAAGTATCCTGACCTCACTTTCTTGCCTCCCTCCTGTGTTCTGCTCATGTTATCATTTGGGACACCCGACTGGAAGCCAGAGTAGAGCAGAACTCACTGATACCGTACAGATAGATCAACAGCATTCTGGGGCTCTGGGCACCGTAGACAGGGCAGAGTTTAGAAATGGAAGAGTCGATAGAAGCTCTCCAGCATAACCAGCTTCCAGATGTCACACCCAATACAATCCTTGCATTAATACAGCCAAAGATTAATCTACCTTATTTCTTCCCCAGCCATTTCAGGTTGTTAGTCCTTCCAACTATATTTTCAGCTCTAACTTTCACTCTTTGTTGTATGTTCTGCCGTAAACACCCATCTCTGCATTGTACACGTGTGCAGGGCTGATTTTGTTTTGCCTTGGGCTTTAGGGGAATTTAAGCACAATATTTTTTACTTATCTCTTTATTTTATTTTATTTTTATTATTTCAGTCTATCTTTTCAGACTGGGGAAATCCTTCTGGATTCAGAGATTTTCCACCCAGATCACTACCATTTGCCCATTTATTTTAATAGTCTATGAAATCTTCATCTAATTAATATAACTATTAAATGAAATTGAACTTCGTTCTTCTTACTAAGAAACTTATTGCAGATTAACATCTTCTATCGCTGTGCTTGGTTTTCCTTGTTTTGAAAGTTATGTATAACTTTTGGAGGCTACTTACTACTGTAATGTGTAGCTCATTGCCTGAAAAAAGTCTGTACCTTTGAAGAGGAGTGACACTGGGTCACTTCCCAGTTTTACTGGATGTATTTCAAATCTCATTTTAAAACTTCTCCATTCCCAAGTACATTTTTTACCCATCACTAGATAATAGTGTATTCTGTTACTCCCTGCTTCATCCATGTGTTCCAGGCCTAAAGGTTGCTTCCTGGAACCCATCTGCCCAGTCCTATGCGCATTATGCCTGAAGGAAGACTTTCAACCCATCTGTCCAATTTTACCACACCCTAAAGAAATCCCAACATGAAATAGATAATAAGACTAGTTAGTAAACAAACTTAATAGATGTGGACACTGGCACAAAGTGCTGCCAGAATATGCCTGCTATCTGATGCCATTTGATCCAAGTCCCGACGTTGTGGAGTTATATTTCTTGGTGGCCCTGCTTTTAAGGCAACTGGTGCTGGCAAAGGTATTAATCGACTTTTACTAGAGCAGAATCACACATAGGATGGTAGAATTAGAAAGGAAGTTCAAGATCAAAGCTTTGCTTAGAGGGCTACAGCTGTATCACAAATGCCAAACTCAATTTTATTCTTTGTTCAGTGCTTGTCTCATTAGTCTGATAATACACTTGAGATAAGCTTAAAGCATTTCACTTGTGTGTCCATTCTTTCATTCATCATGTGTTTACTTAGTGCCTATCCTGTGCCAAATGCCATGTGAGATACCGGGTGTGCAAAAATAGAAATCATGAATGCTAGCTGTCAGGCGGTGTCTCAATAAAACAGAGGAGACAAATAAGTAAAAACGCAATGGGAAGGGTCATATCTTTCAAACTGGAGGGAGCTTAGAGATAAAGGAAAGATGAGAACAAGCCTGTGTTTATAGACACGCATCCTACCTTCAGGAAATTATAGGGAATGGGTAGGCCTGAATTGTAGGATTTTCATAGAATAGTGGTAGCAGATGAAGCTTCTTTGCCTTACCCTCAGTGCTATGGAATTTGGATTTTATTATAAAGGCAATGGACAGTCACTGGATAGTTTTAAGCAGGGAAGGAATATGATTAGATTTGGTCTTAGAAAGATTATTCCCTCCTGTGTGGGGGATGTATATGAAAGGACCACAGTAAACAGTATAAAAGGATATTGAAGTGTTTCAGGAAAGAAATTCTAAGGCGGGGGTGTCCAATCTGTGACCTGTGGGCCACATGCTGTTTTTGTGAAAAGTGTTTTGCTTACGTGTGGTGTCAGATATCACAAAAGTGTACACAGATGGTTTTGTTTTTGTTAATCAGCTTTTATTAGGTTTTTTGTGTATTTACTGTGTGGCCTAAGACAACTCTTATTCTTCTAATATATGGCAGAAAAAGAAAAAAGGTTGGATACTCCTGTAGGGATTGAATTAATGTACTGGAGGTAAAGAGGTAAGAATGAATTAGAGAACTGCCAAGGAGATAAAAATCACTAGAAAATAATGACCATTTTTTTTCTAGGATACATCCAAGCTTTCACTAGAAGCTTTCAATGGGGGAAATAGCCTAGCCATACAATTTTAGTTGAGTGACCCTGGGCAAGTTAGAGGAACTAGCTCTGTGTTTCTATATCCTTTTCTCTAAAGTGGAACGACAATGTGAGAGGTCCCTTTAGAGATAAATGTACCCTAGTTCTTGACTTTCACTGCCAAGAATGTGGACCCTGGCACAAAGGGCTGCCAGAATATGCCTGCACTTTGGCCGCTTTTCTGGCTTCGTGCAGATGGTTGCCAGACAGAAGTTTATAGGGAACATCATGTGTTTCATAATGTAAGTTATATTTTAAGACATGAAATGTTGCTTTATACAACATTTGGTCTCCACTGGCTCCTACCTGATGATGGAGTGATTACAAATACTAAATAATCACAGTCAATATACATTTATTGCAGAACAAAGCATATCAAACATAAGGAGAATATGTTTCCAAGAGGACAAGTAGATTTGTGAGAAAGAACCCATGAGAGAAGATCAGTGCTAAATATACATACATACATATATATATATCATATAAATATATGAGTATCATATATATGAGATTGCATACACATATATGTGTTTTATGTGTATGTATTACATACACACACACACACATATATATTTATAAATAGAAAAGAGTCATCAGCCCAAATGTGAAATCAAAGGTATGAATAAAATTGACCAACCAGAGTTTTGAAATAGAGAAGAAAAAATAACCAAAGATGAAATTTGGAGAAGGACCAGACCCTTTGAAGGATGAGAGTGGTAGATGATCTTAGGAATGAGTATGGAAGAGAAATAGCTCTTAAATTAAAAGAAAATGAAATACATTGAAACAGGAAAAGTAATTTATAAGAAAGAAGGAGTACTCAGACAAAATTGTACTCATTCTGGCTTTGTTTTTTATAATGGCTGATAAATATAGTTTTGACAGAAAACGTTACTTTATATGTAGAACAAATAAAAAGAGAATACTGATTGCTTGGGGTTAGTGACTTTTAATAAGCTCAATATAATTATCTAGTATTTAACAACTTTTTTTAGCTTTCACATCTTCTGAGGTATTATTGAACATATCAAATCTCATGCTGAAAATAAACAGTTGTCCATATTCAGAATGTTGTCATTAAAACTCTATAGGATTTCTTTCTTGAACAATTTGCTTTCATTTATGGAATGAAAAAATAAATATTAAGGTG